CAGGCGTCAGCCACCACGCCAGGCTGGGGCATTATTACATTAAAAGATCTGCCGTCCCATCTCCCTCCAGAGTTGATAACAGGAAGTATCGAGAGTACAGGGCCCAGAGAAACCCATCCTGCCACATAACTGAGAAAGGACACATAGAAAGGATCGGGTTTGGATTTCTCGATGTTAATTTCCACCTTGGGCACTGCTCTTAGTGACAAGTCTTGTCCGCCACCGTTGAGAAAGGGGGTGTTATTGGGCAGCGGGTGGAGGGCTGAAGGCAGAGGCAGATGATGTCGAGTGTGTGATTCGAACCGGGAAAAATACTCGAGTCTCAGTGTTCGGACCTATACAGTGGTCTAAGGGTTACCAGTGTTGAGACTATGCCTGAAGGCAAACTTCCTCTTCAATGTCAAGCTGTGCTAAGTCAAGCACTTCTCTTCTTCTTTGCCAAGAGGCCGTGTCTGGGGGTCCCTGACCAGGCCCTCCCTTTGCTTCCTTCTTCATCAAGGTGTCTGTTGGAGGGAAACTTCCTTTTTTTCTGGCTTCAAGTTCCCACGTGGCAGGGGGTCCATCAAAGCAACACCTTGGCTGCTCTTGGTTCCTTCTCTGTTTCCCACGGGAGGAAGGGTAGCTCTCTGATTGGTGGGTTTGGGAGAAGGACTCCACTCTTCTTTTAGGCAGCATACATTCGCTTCTGCTCCTCCAGGCCTTAAGTCCCGCAGGGGCAGGCTCTGCCCCTAAGGCACAGGTCTACCCTGTCCAGTGCAGGGTAGCTGAGCACTAAGCACTTAGAGCTGGGGGCCTAAGTCTGCCCAACCCTAGGGCGAGGAATTAGAAGCTCCTTAGTCATACACCTAAAACTAACTTCTCCGTAACCAGCTTTATGGGTCATAAAATGATTATTTTTAGCCCTACTTACTCGATTCCTATGTCTTCCCTTCATTTCATGCCAAATTCAAGCAGGAAAAAGAGACATATTAGTGACTGAGTTTCCCCAAACCCCAACAATCTCAGTACAGACACATCTGAGAAGCTTGTAATCAGATGAGAGAATTGGACCTCCCAACAAATAGAAATAACACATAATTCATTTTAAGTCTAACAACAAATGGAGACAACACGTAATTCATTACAAGTCTAGCAATGAAGTGATGGGGTTTCAAAAAAAAGTTGTGTTCGCTCAATCTGTAGCTAAAATATTTACACGGGGCCCTGGTGATATGCAAGCGGTGGTTTACAGAGCACAGCTTGTTCAAACCAAACAGTTGTTCTGTTCCTGATTTTGGAAACTCGTCAAGGAATCCGTGTTTACTTAGACAACTTGGGCCCCAAGCGGCTCTGGTGTAGGCTGGATTCAATCCAAGGAGAAGCTATGGCTCGGGAACATTCCTCCTTCTCCCCCGACCATTGAACCACAGACCTCTCGGCTCTCCAGGGCCCTCTGGGGGGCATCCGGGTCAGTCTCTGGTCAGCCGTCCAGTCCCCGGGCTAGACGGTGTCCACTGAGTTCTGTTTTTGAATCGGCCCGCTGGCGCCCAGGCTAGTGAGTAATCCTGTGTGTGAATGTCCGAGTCCGTGAACTCTCAAAGAAAGAGCGTAGGCTCTTCAAAGAAAGAGCGTAGGGGCAATATGTTCGATGTTCGATATGTGGATGACTTAAATTAGTCTAGAACACGAGGCAGGAGGTGGGCCAGCTCTGGGAAACCAGCCACAGAGAACCCAGGGAAGTCAAGTTCGAGTGTGCAGGAAACAAGTTCTGCTATTTCTACCCAAAGCAAGAAAACAAGCCCAACATTAGTGAAAAACGATGGAGGTACAAGTGTGAACATGAACAACAGTGCACATAAAAAGCACGGGCCACAGCACCTAGGCTCTCTATAAAAGGTAGTACTAATTGCCATTATTGCTCTCCTTGAGACAATTTGGAAAACTACCGAGATTGGCACATGAGTAGGACCCATGGGAATTGTACTGATGATGTTATGGCCATGAATAGCAGTTGCTGCCATGTGTCCCATCCTTTTTTCTATTTCACAGCTGTTTGTCCCTGATCTTAGGTGGTTCTAACGAGACTGTTGGTCACTGTCTCCCAGTACGGTGGTTGACAATGTCCTTGGCCTGACCGATGGATCGTGGTAGCCAATCTTCTCATCCTACAAGCCCAGCCCCAGGGGCAGTACTGTTACCCAAGCAGGCCAATTGGAATCCTTCTATGAGATTTGGAATCCCCCATGAGGCATGTTGAGGCATGGATTCTGGCTCATGATATTGGGCAAGTTTCTTTACTTCTTTGAGCCTCAGTGTCTTCATCCTAATACACAGTGGAGTAAAACCTACCATGCAGAGTTGCAAAGATCAGCTGAGATAAAATATATACAGTGCTTGGCACACAATTGACAACAATACGTGGCTTCTGTTGATAACATTCATCATCAAAAACAGTCCCCCAACTTTTCTCACTCTTCCATGCTGCCCGATCAGTCTTCACTCTGTGAAGCACTTTTAAATAGCTATAATTGGGAGACCCACCTTTTAGTGGGGAGGGCTATCCTTAATCTTCCCTGACCCTTGATCTTTCTGGAGAGTAGAGATGAGATATGAGAGTAAAAAAGCTCAGGATGAAAAAGTCATTGTCCAGTCAATCCATTGATAGCAAGTAACTACGGGATCTTTTGTCTACCTAGCATTCTAAAAATTGTCTTCAGCCTAGAGGCTAGATTAGTGCTGCCTAACAGAACTTTCTGCTATGATGGAAATATTTTATATCTGTGTTGTCCACCATGGTAGCCGCTAGCTGCACGTGGCTATCGAGCATTTGAGGTAGGACAATGCAAATGAGGAACTGAATAATTTATTTATTATTCATATAAATTTAAACATTCACTTGTGGCAATGGCTTTCATATTGGGCAGAGCAGCTCCAGACTGCAGTGTGGCATTAGCAGACAGACACAGAAGTGAGTGACAATAGTGCCCACTGGCTTGCCTGGACAGGAAAAGCTGCAGCTTGGAAGCAGGTGGGTTGCCAGGGTTGGAGCAGGTGCTGGAGGAAAGGCATCTATTTAGTTAGCAACTTAAAACAATGCCTGCTGGTTTATGTGCTTTATGTGCAAAGCTACGCGACTTCTAAGAAGAGTGTCTTAAAATATTTTTTTTAATCCATAAATTGCAAACATAATTTGACTGCCTTACAGAGAGATTAGCAACTAGAGGGGGAAAATTATCCCTCCAAATCCCAGCACACAGTTATGATCATATTTATATATTTCCTTTTCATCTTTTATACAAGCATGTTTATGCTTCACATGCATACTTATGGATTGTAATCTCCAGGGGCATACATTCCATATCCTATGGTTTTTTTCATTCATCGTAAGTACTTTTCTGTCACCATAACTCTTTGTATCTTTTTTTTTTTTTAAATATTCAGTCTCTGTAAAGACTGTCAAAAATTGCCAATGTTGACTATATTGCAAGTTGTCGTGGGGGAGTATTGGGAACAGTTTATAATTAGCAATAATCACACCTCAAATAAACCTCCTTGGCTACTATATTGCCACTGTGCAAAGCTTTTTTCATTTTCAGTAACTGCAATAGTCTACTGACCTCACTCACTGTAATTCACCTAACTGTCCCTCTATTTTGTATTTTTTAGGATATTTCCAATTTTCTTCAGAGTGATGCTGGGACAGGTGTCCTCGTGCACATAACTGTCCCCCACAATCATTGTGTGTGGCAGAGGAGCACAGGCTTTGAAGGCAGGCAGACCTGGGCTTCAGTCCTGGGCCTTCACCACTTGGTGGCCATGGGACCTCCCACAAGATCATGCGTTTCCTCAAGCCTCAACTTTTTCATTCATAAAATGGGAATCACAATATCTGCATTTCCAGGTTGTTACCAGGATTGGACATCTGTAAATTGCCTCCCACACTGCTCAGCAGTGTGGAGAGGCTCAATGAGTTACAACTGTCACTGTTATAGTTGTTTTTAAAAAATCATAATTATTTTTAGGAAATTTAATTACTGGTAATCTTTATAGTTTAGTTGGAGTTTTGAAGACCTCTTGGTTTCAAGAAGTTTCCTGACTTGTTTATGCTAACGTGTCTCATGGCCCACCCCTTCTGATCGGACCAGGATCCCTGTTAGCGAAGATGCTGGCAGGCGTCTAAGCGTGGAAGGAAGGAGGTGGGGAAACTTGGGGGAGGCACTGCAGAAGCAGGTAGGCGGCAGGGGGATTAATCAGATCTAACATATATTTGTGGAGCACCTTGCTATGGTCTGAATGTTTGTGTGCTCCCCAAATTCATATGTTAATAAGATCTTGACCCCCAAGGTAATGGTATTAGGAGGTGGGGATTTGGGGAATCGATTAGTCCATGAGAGTGGAGCCCTCAGTATCGGGATCAATATGCTTATGAAAGAGACCATTTGAGGACAGAGTGAGACAGCACCATCTATGAACCAGGAATAGGGTCCTCCCCAGACACCAAATCTGCCAGCGCCTTGATCTTGGACTTTGCAGCCTCCAGAACCGTGAAAAGTAAATTTCTGTTGTTTATGAGCCACTGAGTCTATGGTATGTTGCTTTAGCAGCCTGAACAGATCAAGACACACCTGCCGTGTGCTGGGCAGGATTATATGTGCTGGGGATTCAGCAATGAATGCCATGGACAAAGTACCTTCAAAGAGGGCACATTTTTGTGTGGGAAGACTGACAGGTAAACAACAAATGAAAAAAGTACATATTATGTACTTTTGATAAGTAGCTCAGAAGAAAAATAAAACAGGGTAAGAGAGGAGTGCAATTTTACGTAAAAAGGCCAGAGATGAAAGTTGAAAGACCCACTTACCTTAGGGTCTACAAGAATGCACTGTCCATAAGGACAGGGCCCTGGGATCTTGTTTATTTTTGTAGCCCCAGTCCTTACCACAAGTTCTGGCTCCTAGTAGGTGCTCAATAAATATTTGTTGAATAAGTGAATGAACAAATAGCCTCAGTCTCAGACCTACTGGAGAAATGCCCATTTTAGGGTAGGCGTGGGATTTTGAATTCAGTTCCTATAAGCTGACATTTATGGAGAAGCTTCTGTGTCCCAGGCATCGTGCCAGCCTCCATGGCTGCGGTACAACCCCTTCCCTGTGGATCTTCACCAGAGACGATGGTGGCACTTGCAATTTGGCGGTCTAGATGAGAAAGGAGCAAAGAGAATGAGGGAAGAACAAGGGGTTAAGTGCAAAAGGAAGCGTTTCAGGGTCAGCAGAGAATTCAGCAAGTGTCTTGCCTGACATTTTTTTCTTGATGCAAAAAATAGCTAGTTCTGCTTTTTGGATTGGGGCTCGCTGAGTCAGGGGTTCAAAGAGAATAGCATGAGGATAGGAGTGGCAAATGTCATCTGCAGCAGATGGTGATGCCCCAGAGACAGAATGTGGCCTTGAAGATGCTTCCCTCCACCGCCTCTGGCCCAAGAATCAAGGTCAGGAGCAGGCAACCAAGCTCAGGTCCCTGGGGTCCCCATCCCAGCCTCTCCACCAGGCCAGCTCTTCCCGAGAACATCACCCTTGTTCCACCCCCTTGGACTCCACTCCAGGCTCCGCAGAGCCTCAGAGGCCAAGGGTGTGAGAAGAATAATCCCAGCATCTGTTATTAACCATTATTTCCATCCTTTTGGCTGCACTTTCTCCTCAGCCCTGAAAGCCCTGGGTGGGTGCTTTTTTTCAGCACAAATGACTGATTTGCCAGGCCTTTGTTCAGCCTCACAAAAGAAGGGGATGATTATTAAAAGAACAGATTTTGCATTCCATATTTACCCCAGATGACATTGCCTCGATCCCTAAAATAACTCCAGATCGCCTGGGTGGAACTGGCTTGTTCCTTTTCATCTCGCTATTTTGCAATTGTTTATGGAGCTCATCGCCATAGTGATATTATCAGAGCAGGTCAGAATGAAACTCTAAACTCTTGGGTCGTTGTTGGTTTTTCCTTCGTACCTCGCAACATGACTTTCTCACCCCAAATCATCTCTTTTATATCTTATGAGCATTGAAGTTCTCAGGTCCAAGGCAGCCGGCATCCCTTTTTGACCAACTGCCCATCGTTAAAACCCCAGAGGTGGTCCACCGCAAGATGACGGATGGAAGCACTTGGGTTGAGTTTGCAGAATGGAAACGGTATTTATCAGAAACCCCCTTTCTTTCAGATAAGACTTGGGTGAAAGTTTTAGGGTGTTGAAAGAGGTACTAAATCAGCTAAGAGTGTAAAGGACCTTCGGCGTTTGGTCCAAGGAACATGGTGACAGAGTTCAACAAATATACACAGCTGGCGTGGGCCGAGCCTTTAGCAAACACTTATCTTCTTGATTATTTTTCTTTTGTCATAATCATCATCTTGGCCAAAATCCTTTATTATAGCATTCTCATACGCTGCTGGTAGGGTTGCGGATTTGCACAACTTTCTAAAAGGAAATTTGGCAATGGATAGCAAAAGCCTTGACAACGTGCTCTTCCTTTGATGCGAAATCCTCCTTGTGGGTCCTGAGAAAATAACTGGGGATATGAGCAGAAGGATACATACAAAAATGTATTGCCAATAATGGTGGAAATTTATAAATAAATAAATTGTACAACATTAAGGAATCGCTTTTTTTTTTTTGAGACAGAGTCTCGCTTTGTTGCCCAGGCTAGAGTGAGTGCCGTGGCATCAGCCTAGCTCACAGCAACCTCAAACTTCTAGACTCAAGCAATCCTGCTGCCTCAGCCTCCTGAGTAGCTGGGACTACAGACATGCGCCACCATGCCCGGCTAATTTTTCTATATATGTTAGTTGTCCAATTAATTTATTTCTATTTATAGTAGAGACATGGTCTCGATCTTGCTCAGGCTGGTTTTGAACTCCTGACCTCGAGCGATCCTCCTGCCTTGGCCTCCCAGAGTGCTAGGATTACAGGTGTGAGCCACCGCGCCCAACCAAGGAATCATTTTTAAAAAATTATGATCCCTTCATGCAATAGATACTGATCCACCACTAAAAATCACGCCACAGGAGACATGGTGGTGTGCGTCTTCGGTCCCAACCACTCAGAAGGCTAAGGCAGGAGGAGCATTTGAATCCAGGAGTATGATCTTACCAGTGCACTGCAGCCTGCATGACAGAGCAAGACCCATCTCTAAAAAGAAGGAGAAGGAGAAAAAGAAGGAGGAGGAGGAGGGAAAGACATTATGCCTTATAAAATCATCTCTCTGATGGTCCTTATGGGCAGAAATAAAATCTTATATCAGGAGCCTCTTTGTACTTTGCTTAAAGCTTAAAAGATAAGAAGAACTCGGCCCAGTGTGGTGGCTCACACCTGTAATCCTAGCTCTTTGGGAGGCCAAGGCAGGCAGACTGTTTGAGCTCAGGAGTTCAAAACCAACCTGAGCAAGAGCAAGACCCCGTCTCTACTATAAATAGAAAGAAATTAATTGGCCAACTAATATATATAGAAAAAATTAGCTGGGCATGGTGGCGCATGCCTGTAGTCCCAGCTACTCAGGAGGCTGAGGCAGGAGGATTGCTTAAGCCCAGGAGTTTGAGGTTGCTATGAGCTAGGCTGACGCCACGGCACTCACTCTAGCCTGAGCAACAGAGTGAGACTCAGTCTCAAAAAAAAAAAAAAAAAAAGAAGAAGAACTCACTGAGTTCTTACTTGTGATTGGAAGATAATGAATAGCATGGTACCTGGGAATAATAAATATTTGGCAACCACAGATTTTCTGCTTTTTTGAAGTTTAAGGTCAAAGATACGCAAAGCTGACACAGAAAACCAGGTATAAAACACAATGTAATAAGACTTGGAAATGTATTTACAAAATACCAAGAATCATGTGATGTTTGGGAACAATAATAAGGATTGTTGGGGGTGGGGAAGGGGGCCACCCATAAACATGATTAGCATGCTAAGTGCCACCAGTTTACTGCCTGTCTTACTGAAATCTCACAACAATTGCATGAGGTAGGTATCGTACCTCCCATTTCATAGAAAGGGAAGGTAGTAAATAGAAGGAGGTTCCATTGCTTGCTCTTTCAACATTGCAAGGAGGAAGTAGGAGCAATTTTTCAGGTAAGAGAAGCACAGAGCCTCTGACTAGAACAGCTGAGATAGGAAGGAATGAGAGGATGGAGACAGAAACCTGTGCATTTATGGCATTGTCCCACGAGTCTTTCACCAGCCTAGTAAACAGTTAGGTTGCAGGCTGGACAACATGATAATTTTAACTACCCTGCCTTGAGCTCTCGGGTATGATGTTTACATAAAAATGAGGATTACAGCGTGTCATTATAGGCAACCTCACTGGCTTGTGGGAAGTGATGAAAGTTCTGCAGTCATATATACAGATGTGCCAGAGAATAAATTACACAGGGGCTAGAGTCTATCATCATCATGATCATAACGCAAAACATGTAAACACCTCTTTGTTTGGGGAAAGGGGGAGGAAAGGCACAGGCTTGGGGACCAGACAGACCTCCATCCAAACGCTGGCATGCCATCGGTGTAGCTGTGTGATCTCTGTCCAGCTTCACTGGCTTACCTTGAGATACCGTGGACCCTTTACATTTTTATGGAGATCTGCTTAAATTTATCATCCTAAACATTTCCTGCTATGTTGGAAGCTATCATAGGAGCTCTTTAGACCTGTATTAGTCAGGGTAATGCAGCTGCTGGAACAAACAATCCCCAATTCTTAGTGGCTTACTACGATTACGGTTTCCTTCCCCTACAAGACACAGCCTGAGACTTGGATGTTTTCAGTGGACTGTCGCGGAAATGGATACAGGCTTCTTCCATCTTGGAGTCTCCCCTAAGATCCTCTGCATTCGGTTGGCTGATAAGCAAAGAGAACGTGGGGCAGGACATGGAACAGGACACAGGGGCATTTGATGGCCATGCCTAGAGATGGCATATGTCATTCCCTCCCACATTCCGTTGGTCAAAACCCAGTCACATGACTACACCCTAACTCAAGGGAGGCTGGGAAAGATAGACTATGTTTGTACCCAGGAAGAAGAAATCAAAAAGGCGACCATGTAGCTTGTCAGTGCTACCGTGCCTGTATCAATCACAGGTAATGTGGGGCAGAGAATGAAGAAAGGTCACCAAGATTAAAGCCCAACAGAACTGTAATGGCAGTTGTCCAGGCAATGGTGTGTGACAGAAAGAGATCTTTGGGCAGTCAGGGTTTTCTCAACAGATACAGATTTTTTTTTTTTTTTTTGAGACAGAGCCTCACTCTGTTGCCTGGGCTAGAGTGCCATGGCATCAGCCTCGCTCACAGCAACCTCAAACTCCTGGATTCAAATGACCCTTCTGCCTCAGCTTCCCGAGTAGCTGGGACTACAGGCATGTGCCACCACACCTGGCTAATTTTTTTTTAGCTAATTTTTTTTTATTTTTAGTTGTCTAGCTAATTTTCTATTTTTAGTAGAGATGGGGTCTCATGCTTGCTGAGGCTGGTCTCGAACTCCTGATCTAAAGCAATCCTCCTGTCTTGGCCTCCCAGGGTGCTAGGATTACAGGCGTGTATCACCATGCCAGCTGACAGATACAGATTTTTAAGTTGGACCAGACATTACAAGATCTCAGATTATGTATATTTGATCCTGTCTGGAAGTTTTAAGCCATTGATAGGCAGCACCTATGAGATGGGCCTATTCACCATCAGCATTGCTCTAGGCTTCCCTGCTGACTCATCTTAACCCTCTGTGCTCTCCAGTTTTGTTTTGTTTTGTTTTTGAGACAGAGTCTCACTTTGTTGTCCTGGCTAGAGTGCCGTGGCATTAGCCTAGCTCACAGCAACCTCAATCTCCTGAGCTCAAGCAATCCTTCTGCCTCAGCCTCCTGAGTTGCTGGGACTACAGGCATGTGCCACCATGCCCGGCTAATTTTTTCTATATATACTTTTAGTTGTCCAGCTAATTTCTTTCTATTTTTTTTTTTTTTTTTTTTTTTTAGTAGAGATGGGTTCTCTCTCTTGCTCAGGCTGGTCTTGAACTCATGAGCTCAAGCGATCCTCCCGTGTTGGCCTCCCAGAGTGCTAGGTTTACAGGTGTGAGCCACCATGCCGGGCCTGTGCTCTCCACTTTTACCCTTTGCACTTTGTTCCTGATCTTCTAAGCTTCCGACTAGGTCAGTCATTTTTCCCACTTATGGTCTTACTTCACACTGCTGGACCAGATACTTGGCATCACCTCTTTGCCTCTGACCTCTATTTTTCTTCCTGGCCACAATCTGGAGTCTTTCTGACTACAGTGACATTGACTGCCTTAAATAAATAGGTTACCAGCTCCAGTCTGGTCTTGGGAAGTAACACCCTCAACAAAGGTCCACTTATGCTATATACTCCATTTGAACAAAAAATTAAGCTGTTTATTTATTTAGAAGCCTTGAAACTTATGTGGCAGAGAGAATGTCATTCTCTTAAAAAATATTTAAAGTCCTATGTGTGTTTAAATAATGCTTTACATGGCTTTGAAATATTTTTCCTAAATGGCATCATTGGAAGAGTACAATTTTTAAAAAATTTTAATGAAATCCAACATATACATTTTTTCCTTTTTTAGTTAGTGCTTTTCATTCCTAAGAAATTTTTGCCAGCTCCACATTATGAAGATTGTCTCCTGTTTTCTTTTAGAAGCTTTATAGTTTTAGCTCTTTACGTTTAGGTCTGTGATCCATTTGGAGTTAATGTTTATGTACTGTGTGAGGGAAAGACCAAGCTTCATTATTTTTCTAAATGGATTTCCAATTGTTCCAGCACTGTTTGTTAAACAATGTTCTTCCTTCCATCAAATTATGTTGGCATTTTTGTCAAAAATTATTTGACTGTTTATACGTGGGATTATTTTTGGACTTTTCTGTTCCATTGATCTATGTGTCTGTCTTTTATGCCAATGCCAGACAATTTTGATTTCTGTAGCTTTATCATAAATCTTTAAATCAGATAGTGTAGGGCCTCTAACTCCTCCCCCCCCTTTTGTAAGATTGTTTTAAATACTCTGGGACCTTTGCATTTTCATATACATTTTAGAATCAGCTTGTCAATTTATACAAGAAAACTTGCTGGAGTTTTGATTTTGATTGCATCAAATTGATAGTCCATTTTTGGGAGAATGAACATCTTAATGGTATTGAATCTTCCAACCCATAAATAGGGTATATTTACTTTATAATAGGGTATATCTTTAATTTCTCTTTGCAATATTTTCTAGCTTTTAGAGTGCACAGGAGTTGCACATCTTTCATTAAATGCATCTGTAAGACTTTTATATTTTTGATATTATTATAAGTGGTATTTTAAAACACTTCATTTTCCAATTGTTCATTGCTGTGATCTCTTACTCCAGCCTTTCTCTAGACTGTGCTGTGAGTCCTCCCACTTTATCAGCTCCTACGTCTCTTCTGCATCTGGTTTAGTTCCATCTGGAACTTTGCAATGTCTGATTGGAATGAGAGATGGGAGCTGGGGAAAAGTTGAGGATGACCGAGGTTTGCATCCTGGATGACTGTGCT